GTCTCCAAGGAGGCATGGCTGAAGCACACGTGAAACCGGTCCGGAAGATTCAGCCCTAGAAACAAATGGGATGAGGTTGGTCTACATTACAGCTGTGAACGCACGGTGTGACGTGGCTGTGCCCACGGACGCCACCAGTGTGAGAAGTCCCGGAGAGCAGGACCGACACAGGCGTCCCGCAGCACCCGCCTGGGGAACCCAATCAACCTAGGCTTTGCTGGCCCAGCTCTGCCTATGTCACCTTTCCGGCCTGTGCTTGCAAACTGGCCTCTGGGCTGCTGGATGTGGGGCGGTGGTAGGGAGACACATGTCCCCCCCTCTGACAATTCACAGCTGGTCCACCCCCTGGAAATCATATCCCCCTCTGGGAAGCGTTACATGCATACTCTTCCTTTTGGGCAAAAAGGGTTAAAAATGCAGCTGCAATTAAAAATCCTATTAATTTCCAGCCCATGGTAAGAGCTGCTGGGCTGAGCAAAGTGGGTGGAGTTTTCTGTCAGTAGTAAATCTGTCTCCCCAGTGCACAGCCTTGATTTGTGGGTCTGACAGGCGCTCCCCTGGCAGGTAAATCAGCATTTGCATGTGGTTTGTTTGCAGCTGAAATTGGCAGATTTCATAAACTCAGATATCAGAAATACCTCCTGGGGGACCGATTTCCCTGCACCGCCAGGCCTTTATACACCTCTCCAGCTGTGTAAAGTGGCTGGAAGTGGGTGTATCGAGCAGCAAAGAACAGTGTGGTTGGCTTCAGGGAACAGAGCGGGCTGGAAACATTTCAGATTGTGAACGCAATGGGTGGAAGACAGGGCTCGTGTTAGTAGTGCAAACATTTGCAAAAGAGGTCCCGTTTTAGAGCATCTCTACTAGTTATACGCCGAGTGCTGGAGCTGTCCTCGTGGTCAGACGTGGTTCTGCACCAGCTGACCATACGGACATTTCACAGTTGTGTAGCATCAGGCTTGGCCTTAGAGCCCTTTGCAGAGCCTCTGAGACGTAGTGACGTTACAAGCTTTCTGTCTCTTCAGTGGAGCATTTCAGGGCTTGCCCAGTGAGCCTTGGGGATACTGCCTCTCTGAACACAAACGGATAGCCTGATTTTCCAGAGGGGTGAGCGCCTGCAAGTTGTGCTGGAGCCACTGGGAAAGAAGTAACAGATGGGTGAAACAGTGCAGGGAGATCAATCAAAATGTTTGAGCATCATTTCCTGGGGCAATTGTTTTGCTCATCTACTTCTCTAGACATTTCTAAGAGGGAGTCTTGGAGAGTGAATAATTTCAAAGCACTTTATGCTGTAGCAGCTGAAGTGGCACAGGCAAAGAGGAACACGGTCCTCTTCCCCTCACTGCCAATGCAGAGTGTGATGAAGAACACAGAGCAGCATGAAAAATATCTGCACTAGAAAAACACTGTGCAGGGATAGACGCCTGCTATTAGCACGGCAGGAACAGTCCCCTTTATTTCACCGACAGCTCTGGTAGACCTAGCGTATGTTGTCAATGTAAATATACAGAGTGTACTGCGAGAGTCACTCTGCTCCTTCCCCCGTCCACATGTTTGCAAATCACGCTCCACGTGTGCAGCAAGACTTTCGCTGCGAGGGCTGCCTCCTCGGAGACGGGGTATCTGCAGAGCTCTCGGACGTCAGCAGGCTCCCTACTGACCTTGCGCCCGCTTGTTGGGTGGCACGTTACAGCGCTGGTGCAGGAGCAGGGAACACCTCTGCTGACACTGGGACAGATCAATGCCTTAGCGAAACCGTTTCATCAGACCGTTTCAAAGAGTAAACAAAAATCAAGACTGTCACGAATGGCTGATGAGGAAAAAGCTGCACCTTGGAAGGGAATACCTCCTCCCCCATCACTGGCATGTTGGTGTTCTTTGCAGATGGAAAACTGGTATATGCTTCAGGGCAGAGAAATGTTGAGAACTGCATTAAAAAACAATGCTTGGCGCTCCGTGCCTACTTTCCAGCCAGAGACTGGGACTATTTCTGAGTCTATCCCAAAGTAGCCTTTTGCCAGCCCCTGTAAGGACTTTGATAGTGTAAGGCCATAGCTGTCTTGGTGCCTTGTCTCGTGCAAGATTTAGTGGCCAGGCTGCGCAGAAACCCTGGAAAAATTGGAGGCTGCAATGGAAGTGACAAATAGCTGTTGGCACTGTGAATTCAACACCAGGGGCCAAATTATGCCCAGTGAAGGGGAAAGTTTTCTGCAGTCCCTCCGAGCCGTGAGAAACCGCGTCACGGACTGAAGCAGCTGTGAGCGCGGAAAGCCGGGCATGAATCACCCGCACGGGAAGGTTGATAGCGGGGCTCCCGCTGGGTGCTGGAGTTTGTCAAGGGTGGCCTTGCCCTGCCCAGGTCGCTTCCGACTGGGCTGCGCTGGCAGCAGAGCCCAGGGATGTGGTGCGGTGGTGTGCAGTGCCCGCGCTGGCTGGCCCTCGGGGCAGAAGGAGCCCAGGCCCGGCAGCCGGGCTGCGGCACGGTGTGAGCGGGAGGGCTCCCAGGATGCAGCGGCTCCCCGCAGTGCCACGGGGCAGCCGACCCCGCTCCCCTGCGTTGCAACTGTGTTGTTCGGAGTCCCCAGACCATGCCCGAGGATTAAATGCCACCTTTTAGTGCCGTGGCGAGAGGGTGGTTTAGGCAGCACGCCGCAGGTGAGGTGTCCCTGGGGTCCAGGAAGCCTTGCAGGGCCAAAGCAAAATGGTGCCACTCTCTCACGCACACCAATAACAGGCCAGGGAGGTGCTGGAAGAAAGACTTCATGTTAAAGAAAAAATGATCTAACAAATCCTTTAGCTAGAATGATAGAAGGATTGAAATACAGGGGTTTTGGAGTGCATGCAGGACAGCTGTCAAGTTCAGAGAGGAGATTAGGGGTTCATTGCAGAGATACATTAGGAATAAAGCTTACTCCAGGGAGCTGTTAGTTCCCTTTAGGCTGAGGAGGATTTAGTGTCTGTACATGTTGATATATTGTGCATGTTATAAAGCTCACGATCCTAGCAGCTTTGATATGTTCAAGCCTTTCTTTAAAACCCCTGTGGATAATAAAGTGCCTTATATTTAACATGGGAGATGTTGACAAGCTCCCCCAGGAGGCTGGAGAGTTCTCGAGAGGGTCTTTTAAAATATTAGCTTCCCTGTCACTTTTAGATGGTTTTTTTTTTCCCCCCCTGGGAATATCAAGAAGTGGTTTGTTTCTGACAGCACCATAAATACATTAGGTGTCCACGGACACAGGAAAGATATGCCCAGAGCTGGCTGGATTCCTAGACTAGTGTTCAGTGATCCTGTCTAAAGCTTTTGGCTCAACAGATGATGCGTTTGCTTGGAAAGCCTGAAGTTTATAGTGCAGAGTTATCCTTCGGCTTAGGAGACTGAA